CTGGATGCAGTCAGCTGATTTTCTTAGACAGTAACTTTTAACCAATTTGACTGTTTTGTCTCTGTAAAGTGCCTTAAGATGACATGTTGTGAATTGCTGCTAAATAGATAAATGAATTTAAAATTGACGTAGACACGGTGGATGAAACCAACTTCAATAAAGTAGTTTTATGTTCTTTGCATATTGGAACAAAAACATATATAAAGAGAAATCCAGATCATTGATGAGGGAGTTAAACTTCTGACTGGACCTCTCTCTCCATCACAGCCTGCCATTGACCTCTGTGGCCACTTGGTGACAGTGCAAACTAATGGTAGAACCTCCCCCACCTCCGAGTCAAACTGGGTTCAGACATGAAAGACCAATTTGGCTGTAACCCTGAGTGAGGCCATCGTACGTACAGCTGACAGCGGTGTGGATCTGTGTCGTCGGCGCCACTTCCGGCTGATGGTGGAGCTGATGCAGGTTGATCCCCCGCTCTGCAGGATCCACTGAGCTCTCGTTCACTGTGATTTCACTAGCAGCACTGATGGGGTAGGTCAGGGGACCCCCGACACTGGCCTCATTGTCTGGGGGGGTCTCACCTGTGCAGTCAGCACTGAACTGGAAACACCAACACATCTTTAGCTCTTTTGTCGGCCTTGACAAGCAAACAGCATAGATTAAGCCAGAGAGAAGCTTACTTGGATTCCCAGGGCTTTAAAGATGTTTATTTTGCACATCGGACACGTCCTGTGTTCCTGGAGCCACGGATCCACGCAGTGTTTGTGGAAGACATGTCTGACCAGTCAAGATGAAACACACACACCATAAACTGGATGTCTGAATATAGGTCGGATGGAGCTGAGGTTCAGGAGCACGGCAGCCTCACCTGCAGGGTAAGATCCTCACCACGTCATTAGCTTTGTAACATTCAATGCAAACTGCACAGCTGTCAAAGTCTGCTTCCGTTTCCTTAAACAGAGAGGACAGCAGAATGAGGACACTCTGCCACCCTGTCTAAAGGACCGGTTCTGGTTCATCTAAAGAGGAAAACAGGCCCCCACTCTGTAGGACCAGAGCAGAACATTGATTTGATTTACTGATGTTTGATGGTTCCTAAGAAAGGCAGCAGAGGAACAGATCCACAGGATTCTAACACATTCAACTTAATTCAGCACAGAACCGAAAAGTGTGAAGAGTCTTGTTTACCTTGTCTCCTTTCCTTAAAGTGCACACTTGAAGCTTGCTGAGGGCCTTTTCAGCAGCATCTCCCATGTGCCTCTGCAGGCAGAAAAACAAACACACAAAGTGAGTATTGAGACATCCTGAGACGTCTGCTTTAAAGACTGAACAGAACACGTTTTCACACAGAGCTGCTTCTTCTCTGCTCGTTATGTTTGTTGCCTTGAAAAATAGCTGCATTTGTGCTGAAAGTATAAACTAGAAAAACAAACCAGGACTTTAACGCCACA